CAAACAAAGTGCCCCATCCTGCATGCCTTGCCCACCCCAAATCTCCTCTTGAGGTCCCAAGGGCTCCCCCAAAAATAAAGTTGGTCTCTAAAAGACAATGCAGAGTGCTGAGAAGGGACAGTCTGTCTTCCTTGGTCCCAACTGCCTTCACCCTAGAGCCTGACAGAAAAGAGCTGTATTCTCCCCTAGTGAAACCCTGGGGTCTGATTGGTGTGACAGGGAGGACAGCTTGGCTTGATTTAATTTTAGAAGCTAAGATCAAAAACAAAAGCCCAGCCTTTAAGTTAGAACAGGCAAAGCCATGAAAAACCCCATTTGGCCACTAAAACATGCCTATTTACTCAAACAGACTCTGTGACCTTCTCTGCTCTTCCACGAGACTGTAAACAACGTTGAGGGTTTCTTTTGTTTCCCATGTGGATGCAAGTGCTGATGGAGGGAGCAGCCCTGACTTTCAGACCTCAAATGTCTGTCGTCAGCTGCTGCAGACAGTGCCATTGTGATTATTATTTATGAGTTTCTTATTTTCTTGAATTCTTTTTAAGTAAATGCTTTCGAGTCACATCAAGCAGCAGGAAAATAAACACGCTAGCTCTCATTTGGAGTTGGGCTAGCATTTTATCTATGCAAACACAGACTTCTTCTTTCCCCTTGGGCTTCTGCTTGGGGACGCAAGTAACTGACGTCATGGTGCTGACCCTGCCAATGACTGAGATCATTCAAGGCAAGGCTGGAGAAGGGATCTATGTAGTACTAGCACCTGCTTTCTAGGGATCCCATTATCTTGCTTTAACTCAGCAGGTGACTGGATCCCTGTGTTTCTCACCGACATCTGCCTCAGTTTCTGTCTTCACACTTTTCATGAGTTTTCTGTCAGAACACCTTTTTCCTGAGGTCAAATTAACTCACAACCTGACCTCCTGATATGATCCTCCTGTCTTTGTGCAACTTTACACTCTCATGAAGGCAGGTGCATTTTACTATGAGTTTCTCATCTGAAAAATAATCAACATTATAAACAGTTCAGAGCAGGGACTGCATTGACCTGTCTGTCTCCCCTGTGCCCAGCAGATTTCAGGTGTCAGCACAATAACAGTATTAATAACAATACTTAATAGCCATCACATGATTGAACAGTGCCCTGTAGACACTGTGGGTGGTATTCTATAAATAACAGTAACTTCCACACCTCTGAAGGGCAGGCTCTTTGCTTCTCGCAGTTTAGCAGAGCTGAGCAATCCCTCATTCAAGGCATTTAGCCTCTTGTTTTCTCTGCAAATTGACTTTCTCTTGCAAATTGGCTTGGTCTTCAAACTATTCACCAAAGGATCATGCACAAAATTTGAACCACAAATAGTTAGCTTGACTGAGCTCTGAAGTCGGACTGTGTTGCTTCTAATCTCTGACTGGATGAGAATAAGTGACAAAATTGGGTCAAAATTTGCTTTCCATTAATACATCCTTAGAATATCACACATCCTGCCAAGCATCCTTTCAGTCAACCTTTTTTTCTAATACATTGGATAAAAGTAAATGCAGAAAGTGTTGGGCCTGACCTGTCAGATTGATGGCTGGTGCCTCTAAGTAAAACCAGCCTGGCAGTTTAATGCATCCTTTTGGAGAGTGCCATCCATGCCCCATACTAGCTTTCGCAATATCAGGTCCTTCATATGACCTTTAATGCCAACCAATATAGGAATAAAGTGCAGAAAATCTTGCTTGTATGTATCCAACAAAGTGTTATGAGGTTAAAAGCAAGTAAGTGCTCTGGGATGCTAATTTTACTAGTCAAACATTTAACCTAATACATTTTTCCAATTTCCATTTAAATTTCAAAAAACAAAACAGATATACTTACAGAGTATCTGTTTTCCCCAGAATCTGGAAAACAAAAGAGAGCTTAGAAGAATGCCATCTTTCAGCATGACAAACTTTATGTGCAAATAAATTAGATGCTTAAATTAAGGTAATTTGCACTGTATTCAGTATTTTGCAATGGTACATACTTGCTAGCTGGGGGGCTAGAAAGTGAATTTTCAGACTTCTAATCCAGCAAAGTACCTAGGCAGGTGCCTAATTTAAGCATGTGATCAGTACCTGTTGATTTCAAAGGCTGAGTTCAATAAAATGCAAGCATATGTTCATCTATTCTGCTGACTGCAGACTACGCAACAAGACAGGAGCCCCCAACTCCATGAGTACTCCAAAACAAGGTAGATGTCTGCCTGATTAAACGTTTTATCCAGCGAGACCAAGGACTAGTTGCACAAGGAAGAATTTCCCTCTACATACAAGCTGTTATGCGTGATGTGCTCCTATTTGCACATCTAGATGGTCTCTAATGCACAGGTGACTGGTAGGGAGGACATGGTGGGGAGGGGCACGTGCCCCCCGATAGGGTCATCCCACCGCTGACACTGCCGGTGGTGTCTGCGGGTGCTTGACATGCCTCCCCTACAGGGCCACTGCCAATGCCACCAGTGGCATCTGCAGGAGCTCGCCAGTTCTGCCCTCACTGCTGATGGCGTCTGTGGGAGCTCACCAGCTCTGCCTCCACCACTGCCAGTGGCATCTGTGGGTGCCCCCACCAGATTCAGGAGGCACCAGTCGCCCATTTGACTCTGATACACAGATGCCAGGGAGAGAAGGAATGGGGAAATAATGTATAAGTGAGGAGAAAGGTACCAAAAGACATCTGAGCTTTAAAGGATTCCTGGGCCTGATCCAATAGCCCAGTGAAGTCAATGGGAGTTTCTGCATTTGGCTTTGGATCAAGCTCCTTGTGTTTATTTTTAGGGCAGCCTGAATGACTGAAATGTAAACCCTACGTGCATAATTAAACCCAATGTGGAGTGGTTGAGTCGAGAGAAGTGAATCTGGCATTCAGAGAAAAGGCTTGGGGGTCAGAACTCTGCTAATCAGGTCTCTTGTACCAAAGCACCATGTGAACCTGGACAAGCCACTTAATTTCTTTGTGTCTCCATTTACCCATTTTTAAAGTGACATATAATAATCTGCCCCATAGACAACTCATTGGGAGGCCAGCCCCACATTTCTGTACCAAGAGTGGGCCACAAGGCACAGAGCTGCAGCCTGGCTGGAGCAAGGGCCTGGCAGCAGTGGGGATAGCCGCAGTGGTGCAATTTCTGTGCCAGCAGTGTGCATGGGGCTGCAGCAGCAGGACGGAGTTGTGCCCTCCACTGTACTGGCAGTGCAGAGTTGTGCTACCCCATTGTCAGCACTTATGATCTGCCCCAGGAACATGATGCTTATTTAATTAAGATTGGAAAAGTGCTTTGAGGTCCTTAATTGAAAGACATTATGCAAATGATAACTGCTATTGTTATGGCTAATGAACAGGTTTGTAAGCTTCTCTTGAGAAGTTCCTTCACTATCCAATGTAAATTCACCTTTGATCACTTTTATCCTGTTAATCAAATTTGTATTGTGTAGATACCGTGCTAATTAATTCCTTTCTCTTCTTCCTCGTTACACCCTTCACATCCTTTGTGCACAGTTAAGTATATCCGGTTTCTATTATCAGCATTTCTATTACATTAGAATTATGATTCTGCCTTTTGTGAAACAGCACTGTGCTCTTCAGTGCATCCATGGACTATATCTGAGTCTAGAACAGGGGCGGGCAATTATTTTGGGTGGAGGGCCGCTTAATGAGCTTTGGTGACCTGTCAAGGGCTGCATGGGTAGCCACGCCCCTTGACAGTTGCCTCGCCCCTTGTCATCATTTTGGGACTGGAAGTCCCACCCCCCTAACCTCTGACCTTTGCCACTGGAAATACTCCTTTTGAGAGGGGGGGGGGTTGCCATCTTAGAACCAGAAAAAAATCAGATCATACACTAAAAGTCAAACACCTACTATAACATGTTTTAAGTTTATTACAAAATATATTTTTTGTCATGATTTGTGTATGTGTAGTGAATACAGAGGGGGGTGCATAATAACTAAAAAATAAATTCTTAATTTTGTCTATGGTGGGGAGAGGGTGTGTGCG